CGTAAAAAGACAGTATAAGTCATTATAATCAGTAATTATGTCCCCACTGGATTTGTAATGGGTTTTATTGGTTTTGTCTCGTCGCACCGGGACACGCCATCACATATGGTAAGGGGCGTAACATATCCGTCACACGCTTGAGGTATTCGGCCAATCACAACGCACTGGATAGCTGGCCAATCAGAGCACACCTCGCTTTTCAGAACGATGAGTTTTGGAACTCATCGACGCGTTTCAGAAAGGCGGGGCATAGAGGAGAAACAATAATGTACAGTTACAGTATGTGGAAAATAATGTGTTTTTTGAACCTTAAACCGCATAAACACATTTCATTACACCAAATACACAAAATAATGTTCTTTTTTAGCAACGTCATATGACCCCTTTAATATATTATTTTGCATTCCACAGAATAAAAGCATTCATGCATGTTTAGAATGCCATGAGGGTGAGAAAATGATGACAGTTTTCATTTTTGGGTGAACTTTTCCTTTACGTGCCATACTTGCACTAAAAGAAAGTTGAATATGTGATATACACAATAAATTAGTGAAGAGATTAATCATAGCTGTTAGCACATCGTGTGTTTTAGCACAACTGGAAAGGTGTATTGACCAGTCAGGATGATTATACAAGGACAGGAACTGTCCATTTTTTAAAAATCTTACTTAGTATAATGAGTACGTTTTGACCTTCTTTGTCTGAAATTCTGTTTTGGCTACAGGAACGAAGACTGCACATGTACATTGTGTACTGCCAAAACAAGCCCAAATCAGAGCACATTGTTTCAGAGTACATTGACACGTATTTTGAGGTAAGACTCAAGTCACTGCCTACATCCTGCCTGACATTTAAACATGAGTCATAAAAAGTGAGACAGCCTCATAACTACACTATCTCATTTTTTCTTTATATCTTCATCAGGATTTAAAACAGAGGTTGGGCCACAGGCTACAGATCACTGATCTACTGATCAAACCAGTGCAGCGGATCATGAAATACCAGCTTCTGCTGAAGGTCAGGCAGAGAAATTTCATTAGCAAGTAGTAGTCATTCCTTCCATTACTACTGACCCATCTGTATGTAATAAATAGATGTTGAGAAAAGATCGCTATCTTCTAACATAAATGAATGTTTCTCATCATTGTTCTCGTTGCTTAATTGTAGGATTTCCTCAAGTTCTCCAAAAAGGCTGGTTTGGACACTGTAGAATCAGAGGTAAGGGTATTTGTTAAGACATGGGTTAGTTTTTCATTTTGACAATTGACTCATCCAGCACCATTTGTGCTACAAATATGAATGATTCTGTACCTCAAATCATGCAGCTTGAGGAAAAATGTTGCTAACTGTATGGCATTTCTAACCAGACTTAATCTGATCAAAGTCTCAATTTATGCCTAGTAGATGATAAAGCTTAAAACATAAATCATATTACATCTGTAACCATAGCCATATCTACAGACCAGAATATTATAGGCATGAAGGTGGGAACCTTTGTCTTGGGCTAGTTAGCAAACCACCTAGCAACACCTTAGCAATCTCCTACACTTTAGTATTATTTTGGCAAATTTTACACAAACAAGCACCAGTCATGTTTTCTTCAGAAAATTTAAAACTGTAGGTTTAAACTACATATGCTCTCTCACAGAAAGCGGTAGAGGTTATGTGTGTTGTTCCGAAACGCTGCGATGACATGATGAATGTTGGACGCCTCCAAGGATTTGATGTAAGACGCATTTCTCTTACCTTATTTACGAAAGCTTGTAAGCGTGTAGGTGGGAAGCTAAAAGCACAGCCATTAACAGTTGTATGTAGTACATAAATCAGCAGGAAGTCCACAAGCTGTTCAAACTAAGAATGACAGTGAATTTTCCTCATTTTGAGGAAAGAGTTTAGATGCCTGACAAAATTATTCACAATCCAAGCAAATAAAAAAATGACCATGCCTCCAGTTAAAAAACATGGGAACATGTTAGTCTAGTATTTCAAACTAGACTGTACTTGTTGTGAATATTCTTTTTTTAGTGCAGTTTTGTACTTTAGTTTGTATTTATGTTTGCACATTCGAGGGAATTTGAATTGTTCTGCGGACTGAGCATGGTTTATTTTGTTATGTATGTGTTTAGGGTAAAATTGTAGCCCAGGGAAGACTGCTTCTGCAGGACACCTTCATGGTCTCAGACCAGGATGGTGGTCTCCTTTCCCGCATGAAAGAGAGGCGCGTCTTTCTCTTCGAGCAGATAGTTATCTTCAGTGAACCTTTGGATAAAAAGAAGGGCTTCTCCATGCCGGGCTATCTGTTTAAGAACAGCATAAAGGTGTGTAGACAGAACCACTGCTGTAGAAAACACTGTGCTCAAGACATAGTATAGCAAGTAAAAACATTTATCTCTTGTCTCTCTCTCTACTCTGCAGGTCAGTTGGTTGGGTCTAGAAGAGAGTCCTGACAATGACCCTTGTAAGTTTATTTTGACCTCAAGGTCATCGACTGGCAGTACAGAGCACTATGTGCTCCATTCCTCCAACCGGGCGGTTTGCCAGGCCTGGATCCAGCAGATCAGCAGCATCCTGGAGAACCAGAGAAACTTCCTTAATGGTAACACAATTTTAGAGTTTCCAAAAAGGTTACAAAATTGGAGGTTGTAGGTGTAAAGCCCCATGAACTATGAACAACCACCAAGTAATTGGCTTAACCCAGGGTTCCTCAATAGGCGGCCCGCGGGCCACATCCGGCAGGTGAGAGAAAAAAGTTTGGCCCACGCTAATTTCAAATAATGTGGCATGAAAATTTAAACGCAGCATCAGAAAGCTACATTAACTTACATCGTGTCTACACCGGACGCAAGCGGCGTGGCGCAACACAATAAAATACAATAGAACTCATTATAATCAGTGATGCTGTCTTGGATGCGGCGCGACACAACAAATCCCCGACAGTAAACTGCTGACTCGTTGTATTTATAACGTACTGACACAACGTTCTAATGATTTGCAATGCTTTGTGGCGTCCAGTGTAGATACGATGTGACAGCAAAAACATGGCGAGTGTGTAGAAAAGAAAAGTGGACATGGAAAATAGATGATTCAAATGTGAATGGACTGAACAGTTTTGAGTGAGTGAGTGAGTGAGTGAGTGAGTGAGTGAGTGAGTGAGTGAGTGAGTGAGTGAGAACCCTGGCTTAACCTATGTTTTTGAAGTTTTTGTTATTGTTCGTATCTTTACTATTATACTTTACATTTAACACTACTGTATATCCACCTAAGAAAATGTCTTTTATGACTGGGTTATAGTATTTAACACTTGCCTCGTGTTGTCTTCTCAGCACTGACTTCACCCATTGAATACCAACGGAATCATGTTGGGGCAAGCGGTCTGGGTGGACCCAGCAGCAGTGGACTTCCGGGGGGTAGCAGCAGCTCTGCCATGGTTCCCAGCTGTGGCTCTCGGTCCCGAGCTTCCCGAATCCCTCAACCTTCTTCTCGTCTCCCCCAGCCAGTGCAGCATCACCACGCCCCCGCCCCAGATGACCGCACTTCAGGTACGTGTCCTCTTCCTGACCAGGACCTAAACGGTGAGGTCCCTAGGATGCGGGTTCTGGAGAGCACCTTGAAGGAGCTACGCGAGGATACCCAATCAGGGACACCCATTCCAAGAGCCACAGTCGCACCCCTGTCTCTCCCCCTAACAAAGCCCCGTCTCAAAGTCCCCTTGCCCACTCTCTCCCCCTTAAATCCTCAGAACTTTACAGTCCAGAAAGGCTCCCCATTTTGGGCCTCAATGCCAGTCTCGCCTACTGGCAGGCCTGGCTCTTACACAGAGCAGAGTGACACACTGAGTCGCAACCAGTGTCAGACTCGCAGGCACTCCACCCACAGTAAGGAGTTGGACCGCATCAGTACTTGCTCTTCCACCAGTGAGCAGTCCCTGCATTCAACTCACAGCAATGGGGTAAGAGCCAATCTCTAGCTCCTGGCTTCAGTGAGGCCTAGTCCTGCTTCACCTCCACCTCCGGCTTCATACTAACCCGCTGGGGTATATGTGCGTTGTCCTCGAACTAAAAGAGGTTTCTCACAGGCTGTTGTGGATATTAACTGGCCTGGTTTGACTGTGCTGAGCAACTAACAACGTACACTGTTAACCAGGATAACTCCTTGAGAATTTCTTGGAAACTCTGTACATCCGTTGACTATCTCTGCTGATTATATCTGCTCTGAACTGGCAGGATTTTCTTTGTCTAATTGCCTGAGAAGACCTAATACGCAAGCATTGGAAGCACATAAACCAGCCAACTAACAATTACTAACTCTTTTTTCTTTTTAACCTGCTTACGGCTTTTTTACAGTTTTCAAAAATGCTTTTTGGGATATTCCGTTTAAAAGCATATTGTGGGGTGTTAAAGGCCCCATACAATCCTGTGCTGATTTGTTTACTATTGAAAAAGGAAGTTGGAGTGAGACATATCAAGGGGCTTTTCCTTTTTTTAAATAGCTAATAGGCTTTATTTGCATCAGAAGCCAGTCTGAAGCATAGGGGTATAAGGGGGAGCTATATTCTCATTCTAGAGAGCATTTTATTGGACAAAACATTTGGGTACACACATGAGTGCATCAGCATATTTTGTCTGTTTCCTGGAAGAGAAAGACTGTACATTTTAAAATCGGATATTTCTGTTCAAATATATCAGCTTTTAGCAGTCCACTAGTATATAGATGGTTTTGAAGTTAAAAGACCACAAAACTCCAATGTTGATTTCGTGGGGTCTTTAAGAGCGTTAGATTTCCTCATTTAACCAACAGTCTTAAGGGGTAATCACACTGAAAGTAATTTGCAGCAACAAAGAGGCCAGAAGTCGTTCATTTTTAATGAGAGTAAGCGATTAGAAGCAACATGAGCGATTGAGACCGCTGATGATGTGACAGAGTTCAACATTGAGGCGACTGTCAGTGGGAACATAGACATTTGAGCTCACGCCATCCACCTCATGATACACTTAACCACAGTACAGCGTCTAGACAACCATCAGCAATTTAACTGTGAACTGTCAGTGTGAACGACTCTTTAGTGTAACTCAGAAGAGGATCTTGTAAACTAAAACAACTTTCCTTTGTAAATCTTTTCATAGAACTGCTCTCGCTTGCTTTATCCTTGCTCTCTGACATGTCCAGCTCACTAAATGTCTTCAACATACTTCATTTACAGAAATACTTAATCAAATATAAATAATGTAAAAGTTGCTACTCTGATGTTTTGCTATGTTTCTGCTTTTAGAGTGAAAGTAGCAGCAGCAGCAGTGTGTCAACCATGTTGGTGACCCAGGACTATGTGGCTCTAAAAGAAGATGAGATCAGTGTGTATCAAGGAGAGGTTGTGCAGACATTGGCCTCTAACCAGCAAAACATGTTTCTAGTTTTCCGTGCTGCCACAGAACAAGGCCCAGCAGCCGAGGGCTGGATCCCTGGCTATGTTCTGGGGCACACCTCCACCATTATTCCCGACTACCCTGATGGAACCCTCAAGTAAGGATTGGTTATTAATTGTTATTGATTATAGATTGACTGATTAGTTACTTCTAGAGTGAAGCAGGAACACATGGGTTGACCTTTGCAATTTTTGTTATTCATACAAGCAACAGATTTCTATATTTTTATTTATATGTTGCTGTCTTTTGCATGTTAACGTTTTGAAAATTACTAGCTGCTTCAGAAATAAATAAAACTATTAGTTGAAAAATTAAATGATATGATATGATATATGATATGATATGATATGATATGATACGATACAATACGATACGATATATGATATTATATATTTTGACGATGGGTCCTGCAGCAACACAGCCTCAAAACCCATTATCCTTCCATATTGTATTTTAAATGTTTAAATTTAAACATTTAAAATAAAATTCATGAATATATCTTCAAATATATTTAAAAATATACAAAAATTGTCAAAAATATATATTTGCTAAAATATGCTTTAAAATATATTTGCGTAAATATATATTTTCTACCAATATATTTTTTATATTTAAAAAATATAAATATACGAAAAAAAACCCTGAAACAAATACATTTTGCACTATATATTTCAGTCCAAGAAAATACATTCACGTATGTCACATCATATAACACATTTGAATACAATTCAATCATAAAATAAGCTTATAAAATAATAATAATATAAATAATCTTATAAAATAAGCATTATTCAATTATTAATGTAGTTTTGATCCATCCACATTCGCATTTACCCTAAATGTAGGCTACTGTAAGATTGGAAATGTATTTGGTACAAAAATTTGGTATAGAAGGGTTGAAACTAAATATATACTCTATATCAAAAATATATTTCATTGAGCTTCTCTGTTTACAGCATATATTTGGCATATATTAAAAATATATTTTTGTCAGAATTTTTTTTGCCATATGGGAATGTGCACTGATAAACTGTCAAAATTAGATGTGTATTAAGAATGTTTATTAAATATGTAAGTAAGTTCATTTAGAGTTCATGTTAACCTTAAATTTAGGCTGCAAGTGTGAAAGAAGACACCACCGTTTTTAAAACAATATTGACTTCTTATTTGTTGTCTAATATTTATAATCTAGCTGTGAATTAGCTCTCTTAAAACAGTGCTATATTTGTCAATCAGGAAGTCCTCATCGTGGCACACAGCTCTACGCATCAGACGAAAGTCCGAAAAGAGAGAAAAAGAGGGAAGGAAGGAGAGCAAACCAGAGAATGGCTATCGCAAGTCTAGAGATGGACCAGCAAATAAGGTTTCTGTAAAGGTACTGCCTTAACAGTCTAATGATTCATTACGCAGTCATTACTCATTATGAAATTTCATGGTGATGACAATTTCTACATATGAACTTTCAGCTATTACATCATTGCTAATTTTCATTTTTTGCAGCTTTTGAATCCCAACTACATTTATGATGGTTAGTAAAAAATATTGTTCTTTCGTTCTTGGAAATCTCTCTGCATAGAATAAATTGTTCTTGTGTCATAATGAAACAGCCAAATGACTAAGTTTCTGATTTGTTCGCAGCAGTTCCCCCAGAGTTTGTGATCCCCTTGAGTGAGGTGGTGTGCGACAGGGGCGACAGTGTAACTCTCCGCTGTAAGATCTGTGGGCAGCCCAAAGCCTCGGTCTGTTGGAGAGGGCCTGACCAGAGCACTCTCAGCAATGGTGGAAGATACACACTCACACACAGGTAAAACCAGGACACGGACATCATTGTATATGTCATGCACTTATACAGACTGCAGGGGGCACTTTTGCTTTATGGTTTCCGATCGAGTTTGAACAGTCATTTTGCTACTTTCATAACTGTTTACTGAAAGAAACATTTTGCATGCTAATCTTTCTGAGAAATTGTGTTAATGTTGTTCACTGACTACATTTGGTAGCATTTGGTTATTTGGACAAAAAACTAAATTCAATTAGTTTCACAATTTGTCATTGCTATTGGATAGACGAACTTAATCTCTCATCTTTGCACAATATCTGATTTCCTTGAAATCAAAATTCCTAATTACATATTTGAATTGTAAAATTGAATCGCTAAATAATATATATATTATTTAATATAAATAAATAAATATATTTTGAGCCATGTGGCTCTTGATTAAGATCTACATGGCTCGAACTGTTAATTTTGGTGAGAAATTATAAATATTTTATTTATTATATAAATATTTTTCTACTTTTGGAGCTATGGTGTGCCAACTTTGTTTTCATTGTTTGTTATTTTTTATGGTTGAGCACCTTCGTTGAGCTCCTAGATGTGCATACTTTTTGTAAAAATGTGCTGAACATTAAAATGTTGTAAGTTCACACACACACACACACACACACACAAAAAAAAAACTAAGGTCTTTTAATTAAAAAAGAATTTTGTTTATTTAACAAAAATAAAAGCTTTAAAAAGTTGTACAAATTAAAAAAAAAAAGTTAAATATATTAAGTAAAATTGTACAAATATTTAGTAAATAAATAAGTTTATTTAGTAAATAAACTAAAAACATAAAATAATACATTTACAGGGTGATGTACTATCAGCTAGTTTTTTTTATCACAAAATAAACCCTGACAGGGTGATCTGGACTCCGATGTGAAGCATCTTGTATCATCCACAAATGGTTTCTTTTCTGATAATGTCTCGCTGTCTGTAACTTATTTTGTACATTTGCATGACTTACCAAATAAATAAGTGAAATGCTTTAATAAATGAATGTACATGAAATATTGAGTTGAAATTTGAGTGGAAATTTTATTTTATTTAATTAAATAGTTTTCTTCTGTGAGAATTATTTATTTTGCTTGTGAGATCAAATTGGCTTGGGACAACAGTCAATATATAGTTTAGTGGTCATTATACATTATATACATTATGTTGGTAACACTTTACAATAAGGTTAATTAGTTAACATTAGTTAACTACGTTAGTTAACATGAACTAAGAATGAATAATACTTCTACAGCATTTATCCATCTTAGTTAATGTTAATTTCAACATTTATTAATGCATTATTAAAATCAAAAGTTGTGCATGTTAACATTAGTTAATGCACTGTGAATTAACATGAATTAACAATGAACGACTGTATTTTCATTAATTAACATTAACTAAGATGAATAAATACTGTAATAAATATATTGTTCATTGTTCTTTCATGTTAGTTAATACATGAACTAACATTAACTAATGGAACCTAATTGTAAAGTGTTACCATTATATTTTATCTGATGATGTATTCCAGGAATCCATTTTTTTTTTTTAAATAGACTATGCTGTACATTTGTGTTTTGATACATTACAATTTATACATTTTTGTCACCTAATTGTTTACTTTTTGTTCAGTGAGACGGGGGAAGTGATCCTCCGAATCTCACCTGCCATTTTGGACGACAGCGGCACCTACACCTGCATCGCCTCTAATGACGTGGGCTCAGTGACATCAACAGCCTACCTCAGGGTGCTTGGTCAGTTGAGTTTGTTTGAACACTGCTCAAAACAAAAATTGGTCCCACTTTATATTGAGTGGCCTTAACTACTATGTACTTACATTTAAATGAATCATTTTGTACAATGCAGTTATTGTGTACATACATGTTTTTACATTGTACTTATATTTTAAAAATACCTGCATGTAATTACATCTGTAATTACATTCATAATTACACTGTTGACCCATCCCTGACACCTTAACCCACCCTTAAACCTACCCATACCAACAAACCTTTGCCTAACCTTACCCGTATCCCACCTCAATAGCAGCAAAAGTGTTTTGCAATACAATATGAACACAATAAGTACACTGTACTTATTTTTTGATGTAAGTACATAGTAGTTAAGGCCACTTAATATAAAGTGGGACCCAAAAATTTGTAATAGTAGTCGAGTCAAGTCACCAACGTTGTTTTTTTTTGTAGGCACTTCCTGTGACGGGCTCCTCTGGAAGGATAACTTTGAGTCCCTCTACACTGAAGTCATGGAACTGGGGAGGTACTGTACGAATGAAATGTTCTAACATTCTGAATGAACTAAATGTAGATATAAAATAAAACACAGTCATTTATCTCTATGAATAGCTAACATTTGAAACCAGTTAATGTTTCATTTCTGTCTGTCTGTAGAGGCAGGTTTGCCGTCACTAAGTGGTGTGAGCAAAGAGGAAGCAGGCGATCAGTGGCCGCTAAGCTAGTAAATAAGAAGCTAATGTGTCGAGAGCAGGTGGTTCAAGAGCTGGGTGTCCTACAGTGTCTTCAGCATCCTCACCTGGTGGGCCTGCTGGATACCTACGAGACCCCAGCCAGTTACGTTCTCATCCTGGAGATGTACGTGAACTTCTCTTCTTTATCTGTAACAGTATATTCCCACACATAATGGCAATGCTAATGATAATACCATTCATTTAAGACTGATGGAAAGTGTTTTTTTTTTTGGGTAACACATTTTGTCGTGACACGTTCCCCCCGCCCCCTTTTTTTTTGCACATCAGTGCTGATCAAGGTCGTCTCCTGGACTATATTGTTAGCTGGGGGAACCTGACAGAAGAAAAGGTGTCTCTTTACCTACAGGATATTCTCGAAGCTTTACACTACCTTCACACATGCAGGATTGCTCATCTTGACTTGAAGGTGGGTTTTCCCATAGAATTTTTCTTAATAAAGTAGTAGATCATTTGTGGAAGTAAGATACCCAGATGGCACACATATGTAATCATACGTCTTGACCGGTGGTTCTCAACTAGTGGACCGGGACCTACTAGGAGACCTCAGCACATTTCCAAAAGAGCCACAAGATGGCTTAAAATTATTTAAATTAAGACAAT